GACAGCATACCAATGAGTCTTGGTTCTTTATCTAACTTGCCATTCTGTGTCTTTTTTTTTGAGACAGAGTCTTGCTCTGTCTCCTAGGCTGGAGTGTGGTAGCACAATCTTGGCTCACTGCAACCTCCGCTGCCTGGGTTCAAATGATTCTCCTGCCTCAGCCTCCCAAGTAGGTAGAATTACAGGCATCCACCACCATGCCTGGCTAATTTTTGTTATTTTTTAGGAGAGATGAGGTTTCATCATGTTGGCCTGGCTGGTCGTGAACTCCTGGCCTCAAGTGATTTGCCTGCTTTAGCCTCCCAAAGTGCTGGGATTACAGACGTGAGTCACCGTACCTGGTCTGTTTGATGACCTTGAGGTTTTGATTGTGGTATAAGGTGGATTCAGCCAACTGGCTTCATTTATGGAATATTTAAGGGGCCAGTGCCCAGCTCCCAACTCCTGGACTGCATGCTTTAGCTCTGGGGCACTTGTTTTGGGCCCTGACTTTGTTCTCTGGCTCCTTGAGGTTTGGAATCCACTGCACTGGGGGACTGAGGTACTGCAGCTACAGCAGAATGGCTGGCAGATGCAGGGTGCCTGCCTTCCTGTGGGGGTTCACCACAGTGGTGGTGGCAAAGCAGCTGGGGTGGGCATGGGGGGCTCCTGCTGGAGACTGTGTGCAGTCACTCTGGAGGTACTTGGGCATGGGGCGGGGTGCTGGTGGGCACAGGTCTAGGTGCCTTTTCTGTGTCCTGCAAGCAGGAGTCATTGCTCAGGGTCCAGGAGGATCCACCATTGTCTGCTCAGTGTTAGGTCAAGGGCAGGGTGCTGGCGGGTATGGGGCTTGCGGGCTCTGTGTGTGCCAAGGCTTCATTTGCAATGGAAGTCTGTGGGGAAAGGGGAGGCCGACTGGACTCCTGTGTGCTGGTTGGGGAAGGAAATCAAAACCCACCAGTGCAGACACCAGCTGAGTGATGTGGCGAGTTGCCTGGGCCCAGGGGAAGCTGCAGTATGAGGAGGGAGTGGGCGGGCTGGTATGTGGCCATTGGGGCTGTCTCGCTGGAGCTCTCCACTGGTCAGGCACAGTCTGCCAGCACAGAAGCTATGGCAAAGGCCCCCAGGGCACCCAAGACTGCCTTGCAAGCAGGCATGGCCAGGCTGGGGCCCCAGGAGAAGCCAGAAGACCAAGGGGTGCTCAGGTCGGACCGGTCCCATCTGATGGGCAAGACCACCCTGCAGAGATCAGGTCTGACACTTCCCCTAGGCCCAACGTCTCCTATGGGAGCAAGTCAAGCCTGGGGAGTGGCCGTCCCTGGCTGTGTTCCCACACCAGACTCTCTGGGCTCCGCTTAGCTAACTGCTGCCCCCACCACTTCTCTAAGCAGCTCTCCCTGCCAACTGGAGTGTCCATGGTGGCCGCGGGGTCTTCCCCAGCTGGGGATCCAGAGGGCCATGGCAACAGTGGGTTGCTCCTTGCCCATTTAACTCCCCCATTTTCCCAGAGCGGTTGTGGGTCCAAAAATGAGTACCAGTGCTCAGTAGTCCCAGGCAGGGTTCCCAGCCTTCTCCCCTTCAGCCCAGCCTCGGTGTGCTCCCTCCATCTGCCCTCAGCACCTTCCCTCTGAAGATGTGTTAAAAGCTCACCAGTCATCTCAGGCCCTCCGTGGGAGCTGTATCACCTGGCTGCATCTGGCCGGCCATCCCGCCCCTCCAGTCCACATGAACTTCTTATTTCTGTTTTTGTCCTTATTACTCAGAACTCGGGCTTTGGCCTCGACTTTCATGGGGTCTCCTCCAGGGAAGGTGAGAGAGGGTTCAGCTGCATCCTGGTCCTCCTGACCAGCTGTGGGAGGGACCAACGGTCCCATCTGCCCAGAGGAGGGAGGTTTGCACAGGCTGGATGCTGGGGAAGAGTCCTTCCAGTTCTTATTTTTGGAAAACAGAAAATTTGAGAAACGGCTCATATTGTTCAGTGTTTATGAGCCTGTCTCTGTACCAGTGGAGGTAACTCAGCTTCTTGCCAGGGACTGTATGTGGGATCTTGCTACGCTGCATAGCCCCTGGGCTCCGCACACCCTTCCTCTTGCTTTCCACCCCGTCTTGTTCTCTGCATACCTCCCTGCTTTGTGCTCTGCACAACCCCAACCTCATGCTCTGTGCATCCCCCGCCTTGTGCGCCGCACACCCCCGCCTCGTGCTCTGTGCACCTCCCACCTCGTGCTCTGTGCACCCCCGCCTCGTGCTCTGTGCACCTCCCGCCTCGTGCTCTGTGCACCTCCCA